TTGTCTCACTGCTGCGAATCTTCTCGCCACTTACAAAGATGACAGATTCTCCAATCCTCTTTATCTTGGGCTTATTTTACCCGATAATTTCATGAATTTTACAACTTTTTTCATACCATAAAATATCTAAATTTAAATTAATTTTCTGCAAGATGCATTGATAAAAGCTTTTGAGGGACAAAGCATTTTTACCTGCCAAAAAACAAAGCTTGACCGAATGAGTTCTTTGACTGCTGTGTTAGACCAGACATCACGATTAAGCGTCTGGCATGCGAATTCTTGATCATCCTGCACATTTATCAGCAACCATTGATTTCGCTGAGATGCCTCGTAACGAACCTCAAAACATTGCCGGTCTTTTCTTTTTTTTTAAAGCCATAGCACTGTTTTCGTTGCTTATCTGATAATATCCTTCCTAAGTGGTAGAAAAAAAAAAAAAAAATAGTAAAAAAACTTACGGTTTCCCAATCGCCAGTGAACATGATATCAATTGGTGGACGAAAAAGTGCTTGCAGTGTCATGCGCTTGTCATCTGCCTGATTTGAAGTGGTTGGCCCATTCTGTAGCATCGCTAACCTTTGCTCTAAAATAATTCAATTTGAGCACAAAACACAACGAGTGATGATGCTCTTCGGAAAACGCAGTTAGCTGCGGTGAAAAGTCACCGAAAAAGACCTATAAGTATTATTAAAAAAGTACCAGAACCATCCGTAAAGTAAGTTCAGAGATTCCAAGGTTATCATTTTTACTGGGAGTGCTACTTTACGTCAAGTGAATCTGCAGCGGTCGGAAAAAGCATTATACGCCTTAGGAAAATTTCGATTTTATCCCATGTTTGAAACATAAAGTATTTAAGTCATTTCCCAACAAAACGACAATATTAATAAATGGCCAGAGCACCGACTGCCGGTGCGAAAATGCGTATTTTGCACAGTTCCCTGCAGGTTTTTGTCGCTAACAGCACCGGCTTTTCCGGCAGATGCTCCTAGCTAAAAGAATTGAGACAGGCCGCCAGGAATGTCAGGAAACATCCCCTTAAAATTTAGCTTTCTAGCTTTCCTGGCTCTCGAGTTAGCAACTTAGCAGCAAAAAACTATCACGGGCCCGTACGTGAGAACCACGCATAATTAGCGGTTAGGTTGAAGCTCATTAAGACCAACATGCAGGGGGAACATTCCCTTAAGATTACAGTCTTCTAGCTTTTCAGGTTCCCGAGTTAACAGTTTACTCGTAAAAAACTTTCACAGGCAAGTGCCTGGGTACCACGCGGGTAAGAGCGCTCATTTTGGGGATGCGGGGCCCGTACGCGCATGTAGATTAAGTTCCCAACGTTTCAGCCCTGTAGCTTTTGTAGGTCTCGAGATGAAAAATCGGTACAGATGAACACACACAGGCACACCCACAGACACACACACACACTAGACAACTCCTCGTCAATATGCGTTTTCTGCATTGCATAGATGCAAAAAAAAAGGGAGTGTAGTGCGCCAGGTGATACTCCATGCGGTAAATTATCGCGCGCGAAACCAAATCTCTCAATTATAGCTCAGGCAAAAAAAATTCTTTCTATGCGATAAAGTAACAATCAATAATTGACGATTGGCAGAACCTTCAACGTACATCTTGCAAAATAAAATTTATGCTTACATCGCTCATTTGTACAGGCACAAAGAATTCAATAAGCAGTAATATAGCTATTATCATGAAGGGATTATTGCATCTAGCACAAACAGAGCAGTTACAGGAGCGGCGTAAAGCTGCACATAGATTTGTGAAATACAGCTCGAAATGCTGAATTACTTTAATCAAAAGTTTTCGCAAAAAACTGGAACAAAACACGACTACTTTTGCAGCACTGGACGGAAATGTATGCGACTTCACTGGACCGAAGCATTCCAA